TTTCATTTTTGTAGCTGGTGGTTGCTCAAGAATATCATCTTCCCAAGGAAACTGTGAATCCTCTTTTGAGTTGTGAGATATATCCTACACTGCCAACAATTGGCTACTTTCTCCACGCCATGTTATAAACAATGGCCCTGTACTGCTAAATATTTCTGTCCTTTCCCCTCTGTAAATCACGTCTTTCTCGTCCCGTTCTATACAATGGAAAGTATGGCAAATCATTAGCTGCCAAGAAAAAAATTAAACCTAGCTTATTGCACCCACACCAAAAGGGGGCTACATCTTTGCAATTTACATATCCTGTAGTGAAGGGTTAACTGGGCAGTTACTTTGTGACCTCACTTCATCGAGTAAACACCCCGGAAGGATCACACAACGGTAGGTTTCACCTGATTTGGGCTCAGGCTAAGGTCAATATCAGTGCAATGCTTATTTGGATCTAGGCGCAAGACAGAATAGCGAACCAAATCATTGTCTGCTGCGAAAACCTGGTATTCCATCACACAGTGTCAAAACTCCCAGGAAAGTAAAGTCCGTTTCTGAAGCTAAAGAGAGCATAGACATTTACTTTCTTTCATTACTTCCTCAGCCGGCTTTTCCATTGGTCGCCTGTTTAGGCAAGATGTTTCAATTTGACATGGCCTGCTGCCAATACTTTGATATTCAAATTAGAGAGTAGCCAAAATAACACTGTGTTATGGAAGGCTCTATCTTGAGTTGACACTTTTTCCAAGAAGATCTTGGCTGCCAGGAAAGGAAACACCAGAGAAAAATGGATTCTTCAATAGATCACACTTGTTGAGAACATGGAGAGGTTTTTACGTTCAACAGTACATGAATATAGAGCTACTTCTAGTAGGTTCCACCGAGACTTGAACTCGGATTGCTGGATTCAGAGCCCAGAGTCAGTCCACACAGATGATTGTGGTCAGTGAGGCTTGGAGTGGATCCTTCTTTACCAACACAGGAACATGTGTCCTTTGTGTCCTCTGTCAGCAGAGCTTTGGTCTCTGCCTGACATTTTGATGTGTTTGGCAGGAGAACTGCTGAACATGGCCACTGTAACAAGTGCATATCTTTCACTTCAGCTGGTTTGAGTTCAGTAAAACCCAATTTTGAAAATGTTCAGAATAGTTCTTTTCACGTCCCATCCAAGAGGCTTCTTCAATTCTAACTGACGGTGGGGAGCACTGAGAATAATCTACTGTGGGAGGAACAAAAGAATTAGGGAAAAACAAAAGGTGACTCTGGTCCCTCCTGCTGGATGGACATGACCTAGCTGACTGTGAATCTTAACAGATATAACCCAGTTTGAAATGTTGGAAAGTTCCTGTAATTGTGAGTGAACTTTTACGTATACTGAGTGGCTCAGCCATACATGCACAGAGTATTTCTGTGCACTAAAACATTTTGTAATACGTTGAGCTTTGTGTGCATTCAAGATTAACGTAACGTTCCCTCTTTTTGACACGTGGTCCAACCCATGTGTCGACCTAGCACAATATGGGAGTAAAGCTTTAGGAAAACAGTGCTGGCCATCAGATCCCAGCTGAACACTTTTGGCATGTGGGCCACCTGTAGAGATCCAAACTTGTTCCTCCTCAGCGGAGGTAAAGCTCTGCATGCCCTGTAAATCAGTGTGAAGAAAAGGGGAGGTGGAGACAGGGAGCAGCAGTGACATCTGAGAAGCATGCAAAGTTATTATTCAAACAGATCTGACAAAAAAACACCAACAAAGAAACAATGTCTGTGTTTCCACTCTGCATCAGAGTCATGAACATGGCAGAAAACAAGTTTATAGAGAATGAGCAGACAGCAAAACCAAACAATGAGTGTCTGTAGCAGGATCACATGATGCCGATCCACCTGAAAAGAAACAGAGGTGTGTCAGACACATCTGGGCTTAAAGTGCACAGCTGCTCCAGAACTGCAGCTCAGTCATGTGACCATGGTCCATCAGCTGTGTGGACAAGAGTTAAGAAGATGACCAAAACTACAAGTGACATTCGGCAGGTGAAAACCCACAGAAATGTTTATCTGAGCAGAAAGGAATGAAGGTTTCTACTCCAGGAGAATGATAAGAACACATACGAGGTCACAAGCAAATCACTCTCTTCCAAAGTGTAATGTGTGTGACTTGTTTATGAATGTTCAGAACCGCAAACCAGTGTTGCTGCAAGGAACTTTCACAAGACCCCCCAAAAATCGGGCCTGAAATGATCAAAGTTTGGACAAGCTGGCACACATTACGTGTTTGAGCAACAATCCCTCTGTGTCTTCCACATTGCTTTCTGGATGGCATGCAAAAGAGAATGTCATTCACAAAAGAACAGACTCAGATGGAAAGGGCCAGGACTTTCAGGCCTGAGATACTTTCTGAGCAATTTGTACAAAAGGTGCATGAATGTCCGAAAGCGAGCCTGAAATTCAAAATCAGCTTCAATTGTTCATTTAATTGAACGTAAATAAAGGAAAAAAAGAGATTGATATATGAATTAAAAAAAAAACTGTTTATCTGATAGGGCGTTGGTTTGGCTCAGCGTTATAGTTGAAGTTGCCGTGTCCTCGGCTGGTTGATTTAGACAAAACTCCACCTGTCTAGTTGACCTTTGTCCCTCATCCTTTTAACAGGAAAGAGGGGTGTGCACACAAGGAGTTTACACAACAGGGCCAAATAAAAAAAGAACAGTTCAGAGAAACTCAAAAGAGGTCCATTAACAACATGTCACCTGAAAAAACAATCCCTCTTTAACCGGAGCTTCCCCTCTCTCTTCACCTACAGCAGCTGTCTTTATTTGTGGCAGCTCTTTTACTTTAGTTCAATATTCTAAATTCCGATGGTAATTTCTCTACAGTTAATAGTCAGATTCAGGGTTGATAATTACCGATTTACCTCCATCATCACGTTCATCTTTTTTCTAAATTCAGAGATCTCAGCCTATTAGATTATAGCAACAGATCTGTTTCAGGTTAAATAAACAAACATAAAACAAAACAACAACCGTACAAACAGACCATGCTTCCTTATAGGATTTGTAGGGTGACCTGGGCTGAGAGGGGCTCTCCTGGAAGACCCTCAACTCTACTCCTGTGATTGCCTTGAGGCGGCAGCTTGGAGTGCGCAATTGTGCCTCGAAGGGTGCCGACTGCAGCCTGTCGGAGCGCAAAGTGCGTCGTTGCTCAAGAGTGTTTAATGCGGGAAGGGGCGGAGGTGTGAAGTGGCCACCTTAAAAAGGTTCAGATTGTATCAGGAAGTGAGAGGCAATGCGAAGCCCTGGAGAGTTATCGCTTCTCGGCCTTTTGGCTAACATCTGTTTTTGTTTTTCTAGCGATGTCCAGTGGAGGAGTCCATCAGGCAGCCGGGGTGGCTGGCCTGCGCAATTGTGTGAGGTTCGTTTGGAAGGAGACGGCTGTTGGAGGACGAGATTGGTTTGTGAAGACGGTACTGATCGACGGGCTCAAGGTGGACCCAGGACAAGTCTTCTGCCTGCAGTGGAATCCTGCCGACAACGGCTACGATGTTACGCTTCACAGCCAGGTTATGTACGACCGTTTGCTAATGACTTGCAAGGCCAAGGCAGAGTCTGTGCCCTTTTCCCTTTTCAAGGTGGAGCCTTTGGGACAGAGGAATGTGCGGGTCATCACGGTGCACATGTACAACCCGTATGTGAGCGACGCAGCACTGGCTGTTTTTCTGGGAAGGTATGGGAAGGTGGACAAGCCAGTGAAATACCTGAGGGACAATTATGGTATTTGGTGAGGTCGGCGACAGTTCCGAGTCCTCCTCGGAGAGGATCCTGAGAGTGGGGATGGCCTTCGACACCCTCCTGCCTATTTTTCACTCGGAGGGGAAAGGGGTTTTTTGTTTTACTCGGGTCAGCCGAGTTTTTGTAGGCAGTGTCGCTCTTTTGGACATTTGGCGGCTGGCTGCACGCTGATCCGTTGCCGGAACTGTGGAGGGGAGGGACATGGAGCAGCCTCGTGCAGTCGACCTAAAACCTGCAATGGGTGTGGGAAAACAGGCCACCTTTTTCGGGTCTGCCCTTCTAGTGGCCGCACATATGCGGCTGTGGCAGGGGAGAGTCTGGGCCCAAGCCTGGGACCTTTGGTGGAGGAACCGCAGGAGGTCCAGGGGGTGGAGGGTGACCTCCCAGCAGGGAAGGCACCAACGGCTGCTGAAGCTGATCCAGATGCGAAGGCCATTCCGGCTAATGGGGCCGAGGACACGGTGGAATAATTACCGGGCTATCTGGGTGGGGGAGTGCTGGTAGGCCTGGGGGACTCTCTGCCCATGGAAGGGTCCTGGGCGGACTGGGAGAGGAGTTCAGACAGTGGGGAGTCAGCCGGGGCTGTTACTGGAGGGGCGAGGAGGAGAAGGACGTCCTCAGGAGGGGATCAGCCAGAACTGTCGCCAGAGGCTGGTCGGCCAGGGCAGGAGGAGCAATTCCGCAGGAAAAAAAAGAAGAGGAAGGGGATGCGGGCCGGACTACATGCAGGGGCTCAACCCAATGGGGCCCCTTTGTCGCTGTCGGGCCGCTATGACGTCCTCGCCGGTGATTCGGGAGAAGGGGAGTCCAGTGGACCGGTGGCTGTCCAGGCTGGCCCTGTGGAGGGCTCCAACATGGTGACTCTAGTGGATGGCTCTGGGGTGGAGTCTCGGCCTGTGGAGATGGGGCTGGCGTCACCTTTAAGCCCAACACACTCTTTCCTGGAGGCCGGATCGCCCAGCAGTGTGGCCTACCTGCAGGAGTTAGGGTCTTATGGTCCAGATGGCTCTCTCGGGGTGGAGGCTGAGGGGACCGTGGGAGAGACTGAAAGAGGTTAAGTCATGAGTTTGTTCTCTGTTTTAACTGTGAATGTGCGGGGGATGAGGAATCAGGGAAAGCGTGGAGGTGTTTTTCAGTACTTGTCATATGTTTCTTTTCAGGTTTTTTTTTTACAAGAAGTTCATTTGAGGGACGGGGGGACGTGGGGGTGTTTTCTGGGGGGTGGCACAAGGGTGAGTCCAGGTCTCCATGACTGTATATAGGCCTCCGTCAGTGGTGGAGGACCACCACCTGTTTTATGGGGTCTGTCTTCTTACTGTTGGCTGAGAAAACGTTTATTAGTTTAGAAAGGTTTCATGGTTTAAAAGGACTTGATATGGTGATGTGTGTGAAAGCAGCATTATAGGAAGTACCAGCACAGTCAAATAGCTGCTTCAGATTTACTGTGGAATGAAAAAAAAAAAAATGTCAGAATGAAGAGCTGATGCACCAGTCTTACCTGTTTGAACAATGTTTCATTCTTCATCTTCAGCCGCTGCTGTGAGTGCTTCTCCCCTAAATAGAACCCACTAATACATTACCATTCTCCATCTCTTTCGCAGCTGCAGCCCTGTTGCTGTTTTCTGAAAACATATTCAAACTAATCAATACAACAGATGATTTTTTCCCCCTGCTTCAAATTTTGGAAGGAGAACAGATCTGTGACTTATAGTAAAGCTCATCAACAGGTTCATCTTTGGACAGTTGAGATTTTACAAAAGCTGTCATTTGTTTAACTTAGCAGTTACCTCTGATCAGTGTTGTATAAAGTACTGAAATCTCAGAGTCAA